CATGGGCTGTAAGTCATTGTCATATCCCAAGTGCAAACTATTTTTCTATGCATTAGGCAAAGACTGTAGGATATGCCAGGAACGAGGGGGAGGGAGGTCCAAACTGCATAGCCGAGAAGCAGATCACAGAAGCATAACACTTACTGCTTCGAAAGGACCGCCGTACCCGGATAAAGGATGCCCGTATCTGCCTTTTCCAGGCATTCAAGCTGCAAAGGGTAAACAAGTATTTGGAAATAAATGGGCTGCAGTAGAGTCTCCTGTAGAACTTTCACTAGTGTTCTGTGTAGTTGGCCCTTACCTCAACCCAGTTAAAGCAGACTCTCTGGAGGGGGTGGTGGGGGTGGTGGTCTGGGCAACAATCCATGCAAATTCTCCTAGGTGATTCTAATGGACATCCTCAATTGAGAATGACTAGTATAATTCCCCAACAATTTGAAAAGTCTGGAGATTGTAAATACCTTGCCCTATAATTCTGAGATGAGTAGTGAGTCCAATGCTCCTGCAGGAAGGAATGGGCATGATGAATTCCTTGAATCTTACTTTACCGGCATCTTCAGGAGGAGGGCTAGGTGCACCGAAGACAAGCCATAGCTGGCAGCAGTTGAGTTACAGAACACCTCACCCTAACAGGTGGCTAACACTTCAGACCTCAAACCTGACCGCATACCAGAGCCCCCTGGGAAGACTGAAACAAAAGACTGACTCCAGGGCTCACCCCAGGTCCAGAGAAAAAGGAGCTGCAGAGGAGAACCCCAAAATCTGTACTGCCAAGAGTCCTTCCCATGATTTTCAGGCAGCCTAACTGTTTGCCTGGAATGCTTTACAAAATGACTGGAAAAACGAGAAATGCTATCAAAAACACGATTTCTTTTTTGAGTCGGGCAGTTCCTAATTGCAGGGGCAGAGCCTAGGAATCAGTATTTGTATTAAAAAACCTTGGTAATTCTGGGTCAGGCAGCCCAAAAACTGTCCTTTGAGGAAATTTGACAAAGGTGACTGCTATAAAAATTCTTTTAAAATGCAAGTATCTTTAAAGTAAGTCAAATGCAAAAGTGTATAGTAACCATGCATTAAAGCAATAACGACACTGTCCAGATGAATTGAAGCTGGTTTACTCAAATTGCTTTCTCTATTGTCTGCCGGGACGGAATGTGTGACTCCACCGCCTCTCTGAACGTTTTGCACAAGTAAAATTTTCTTAGCTTATTCTACTATAAATATAGATGGCACAGCAATCTATGAGACTGTTTTGCCTTTTTAAAATGATAATTGTGTGATTTATTGTTGTTTTTTTTACAGGGGAACAAGGCCTGAGTTGCATGGAGGAGATGAGCTGCAAAGGGCACAGGTAGGGACGGCGTGTGGGGAAAGAGCAAGAAGTATTCTCTCACTGAGCACTGACGACAGTCTTCCAAGTCTTGGATGGGATTCGTTTCACAGATTAGTTTAAATAATCCATTTTGTACCTTAAATGAAAGAGAAACCTATTTGAAATATTTACTTTGAAAAAATTATTTTGACATGGTCCTTAAAATTTCCTTTGTAAGTGCATAAATGTGTCAATTTCTATCTTCAAAACAACAATGTCACAAAGAACCTCACAAACAAGATGTAAAGAAGTTTAAGGGACTCTTTCAGATTTAAAATTGATGACTTAGTAATCGGGTCGCATTATATATATATCTGGTTTGGAGGCTCTCGTTTATATTGTTAACTGCTTGATATAAGGTTTATGAATTTGGATATATTCAATATGAACTATGGGGAGAAAGAAAACATTGAATAGTAGTGAAGATTACTCATTTGCTAAATGCTACAACATATTCAGATGAGAGCTTTCCACAAAAAGTATCTTAGTTCATTGATGTTTGAAATACAAAAGAAAGCAGTAAGGGAAGAAAGAAATTGTATTTCCCTCCATGTACAATTTTGTAGTAAGTGTCTGTCTTCCACAGTGCTTACAATATTGAGCGTCATCTTATAGGCCTTAGTATTACTAATAAGGCATTCGCATTTGTAGGAGTTGAGGCATATTTCTATAATAAAGTAGGAAGCTGAGGGAAAAGAACACTAAATTAAGACACAGGTCTTTTAGAATCTAATGTTGGCTATGCACTTACGGTGGTGTGTGTGTGTGTGTGAACATGTGTCTTGAAAAAATATCTTTAGATATGGTTAATTTATAAGTAGAATGAGAGGACTGGCATATCAGTTTTGCTGTAAGTTGCACCTCTCCGGCCAGCCCTAAATATAGATCGATTATTCTAGTACTGAAGTGTCCTTCATTCACTTGGTTATCTCAGATTCTGAAAATTGATTCTTCTGGTTCTTGGCAATGGGTTTTCAATATACAGATGGACTATTTAGTCACTACAACCTTTGTTGTATGCAATTACAGTCATAAGCCATAGTCAACAATGGCGACATTTGCCTTAGAACAGATCAACTGTTCTGATATTAAATAATGATTTTCTGCTTTCAAGGAAAACAGATGTTTTCCAAATTTGTTAATAATTCATCTTCAGATATCTATAACTTTAATAAAAATGACTAAGTTAATGTCTGGTACATGTGTGAAATTGGCTATTTTAATATAATGTGATAAAAGGGGGTGAAGATCCTTTTTCATCTAAGGAATCCACACAAATTTAGTATAACTGGTTGCACTGTAGTGCATATGAGAGAATATGGGGTAAACTAAGTCAAATCAAATGAGTAGAGAGATCTTGCAACTAAAAAACACATCGGGTATCTTATTACCTAAACTGTGTTTTCTTTTTTCATCCACTCAGGGGTCATCATGTAAACTTGATTGAGAGTGCCATGCGCATAGGCATAGACACAGGCTACATGTGTCTTCCAGGCATCTCTCCACATCATGATAAACTCTATGGGGGCAGGGACCTTGTTCACCTTTATCTCTGTGGTGGGTAGGGCCCAGTCTGACACAGAGCAACTGTTCAATCAAGAATAAAGTAATGATGCTGGCTATCAAACCAACTTCCATCCAATGCTGGTATTTTATGTGGTCACTTAGCTTTCGCCTAAATCTTCCTAGTGCTACCTACAAAGAGCTCATTCCCTCACAAAGCCATCGGTGTTGTCCGGCACAGAGTTACTGAATGGACATTTGTCCCTCTCTGAATTCTGTCTGGCTGGGAAGATTATGGATTTGGTTCTGCTAATGTCAACAGATGTACTGGCAAACCTTGGAGACGAGGTGTCAGTTCCAGAGTGTCATGAAGCAGGTATCACAATAAGGCAAGTCACAGATTTCTTTTGGTTTCCCATTGCATATGAAAGTCATGCTTACATTATACTGTAGCCTATTAAATGTGCAGTAGCATTATGCAAAAATTCTGAACTACTGTGAGAATTACCAAGATGTGATACGGAGACACTAGGTGAGCACACTCTATTGGGAAAATGACATCAATAGATTTGCTTGATGCAGGGTTGTGTAAATTTTCAGTTAGCAAAGAACTCAATATTTATGAATCTTCAAAAAAGGATATAAATTTGGTGAAGGACATTAGACTAACTCACAAATGGACCGCAATGGCTGTCTTCAGAACTTTCTAATTCTATTGAAGGGATTTTAGCTTGAATGGAATAAATTCACTAAAGACTTTTGGGAAATTTGTGCCTTAAACAATCCCTAGAGTCTCATCTTTTTTTCACCTACTGTTCATAGCTGCCATCGAGTTGGCTGATTCATGGAGACCTTCTGTGTAAGACAACGTCACATTGCTCAGTCCTGCCTCATCCCCATAGTCTTCGATATGTTTTGGCCCATTTTTGAGACTATGATGTCAATTCACCTCATTAAACACATTCCTTATTGTCATTAACTCTCAATTGACCAAACACGATGGATGCTCTTTTGTAGCTACCAATGGAGCCAGTTACACCAACAACCCTTTATATTTAGCACTCCCTTTCTCTGACCATACAGAAGTGAAATGCTGTGTGGTAACTGTACATTCAGGAATGAACTCTCTAAATATTAGTGTAATCATGGGTTTATTTGGGTTGAAAAGCCCATGACATCCATGGTCATGTGAGCTATGCGTAAATAATTGCTAAAGTGGACCATGAAACACCATCTCCAATTACCTGTAGGCTAGATTTATCATGCAAATAAAACAATAAAAATTTCTATGACCTGCAACATCATTCATTAATTCATTCAACAAATAAGCATTGAGATCTTATCTTGTGTTAGACATTGTGTTCCCTATATAGCTCCACTTTATTGTGTTTAATATCTTATACTTTAACACCTTGATGATATTTTCTTTAGGTTCTCTTAGATAAGATAAACCTCTCAAATGTATTAGTTTGCTTCTCGATACAGTAAAATGAAACTGCTTGAACCATTGGGGCTTCAAAAATATATTTTAAATTGGTGTTATTTAAAAAATGAAAATAGGTGGAAGCATTCATTAATATGATTTTTATCTATAGATATTACTTTGATAAAATTGTTTATTTTATTGTTAAAATGAACTCTATCAGAATGAGGAAGATAACTTACTTTAGAATTATTTCTCAGGTTTTGAAATTCACAACATATTGCATATTTAAAAACGCTCAACTATTTTATCTTAAGATCACAAGATCAAATGGCTGTATCTGCAAGTCACCTTAAAGAAAAAAAAATGAGACGTCTAATAGCTTCCTGGAGAGAACAGTTGTGCTCCACTGCCTTTCTTACTCACTACATGAACAATTCTGCTTCACAGATGTGGCAACCAGGTGAAAACTAGAACAAAAAAGAGAGAGTTACAGACTGTTCAACTTTGAAGTCAAAGAGGTTAGAAATAAATTACAATACACCCTTCCTTTGTTACATTATGCAAAATTGAAACTAGAGATTATAGTAGTTAGTGAAAACCTTCATGGTATTTTAAAATGTGTATCTTCATTTCCCAAATAGAGCTGATCAACGTAGAAACACAAGAATCAAACCACAAATGTACAGACAACTACACAAATGTGGAGAAAAGCAATTGTTTGAAAATGATAGCGAAGAATAAATTATTTTCAACACACATAATTAGGTATATACAGGATAATTTAGAATCAAATGGAATGATTGCTAATGCTGAACTCTTAAAAACTTCCATCAAAATATACATGTTATCCAACAGCGTGATAAAAATAAATTGTGACTAAAATTCAGATTGCTGTCTCTCTTCTTATCTTAAAAATTTGCATCATATCTCAGCAAAATATTCCAGCAAGTGTGAAAAATCATGGGAAAGATTAATTCCAAAACCATTTTTCCAAGTTACCAACAGACTTATATTCTTGATGCCTTTTCACATGATCACAAGCCAAGCATGCATGGGATTCCCAAAATCGTGGAAGATTTACGGTGAAGTCCTTCCTCCAGTTAAAATAACTAAGATATAACTTATTGTTTCTGTCAACTTCCTTCAGATACCTTGCTAGCTCACTGGGAGAGTTATAATCTTCCACATGAATGAACGAATCTGCTGGAATATAATTCTCATAGTTTTCCCTAGACGGCCCCAGCACAACAGGTACAGAGCCAGCCAGTAAAGCATTGTATAGCTTTTCGGTGATGTAATCTTTGTGGATTGAGTTTTCAAAGGAAAGATAAAATTTGCAGGTAGATATGGTAGGAATCAAATTTTTGTCGGTCACATACTCTCCAAACGCTTGCCCATAGGTATGGATCTCAATGCTTTTGCTTAGCTCATTGTAATACTTGACTCTGGCATGCTCCGGGTTCCAGTTACTGACGACCCAGCACACCAGCCTCTCCTTGCTTGGCACTTCCAACACCAAGGGGCTGGTGCTCACCGTCAGCAAGCCGTAAGGCACTTGGATATCCGAGTCCCGGCGGTAGGTCAGAGTCAGGTTAAAGAGATGTTCAATCCCACTTTTCTGGGGAGTGTGAGTTGGTGACTCCAAATTCATCCAAATCCACTTTTGGAAGGGAGGTCTAGCCTGCTGAGGTAAATTGGTCAAATCCCAACTGATATCTCGATGGTGGATCAGGACGGCATGGGACTTGTTGTACAGAGCACGGTCCGTTGTGAGACGGCATCCATGGATGTTGAACATCGCCTGGCAGGACGTGAGGTCAAAGGTCTGCCCAAAGGGCCATAACCAGATCAGAATGATAGTTTCATTCAAAGCATCCGTTTTGGGGGAGAAGAAATTCTTCATTTTTAGGACTGAGCTGGCGGACTCCATTGGGCTGAAGATCCAGCTGCTGGTGGGCTTGATGTAAATGAGCAGACACGCCATGAAACAGCCCAGGATAATGCAGATGAGCACAAATGGGCGGAGAATCCCTTTAGATGCTGAGGTCATAATTTTTGTTTTCTGTGGAACAGAAAGACAGAGTTACAGGGATCGGGATACCTGGTAAGTAGGAATGGTGAGAAGATCATGAGCACAATTCCATGTAAACCAGTGGTGCATCCTGAAACAGACTCGACCAGAGGCATTCCAAGCTCCACACCTATGGGCAGAGCAGTTACTGTGTGCGGGTGTCATCTTTACCTGCTGCAGAAAGTGACAGGTCACCAAAGTCAGGATGAAGATTATTAGTACCTGCAAACCCTACAGGGCCATGCGCATTTCCTGGTTGCTCTATTAGGTTATCTATTAGTTTGTTGAGATTGCATTGTTACTTTGCTTTCAAATGAAATTCAACATGACATCAAGTCTCCTAAAGAAAAGTGTGCTTTGTTTCTTGGTATGAGGAAAGCTCCCTTGTTCCCTACTGTCATCAAAGGAGTCATCTATAACAATGGCAACTCTGGTTATCTTCTCTTCTTCTATAAAAACTAAATACATGACGGGAAATAGTTGATAAATTTTGACCCCTCAATCATTTACTATTTTTTTTTCTTAACAGTCCTGCTTAGTAATCTTCATAAGCCCAATATCTACTAGCGTTTGATGATCAGCAGCTCTTCTGGTACTGGAAGAATACTGTAACTTATGTTACAGTATTGGGGCATTAAATGGGGCATATTTTTTGGCATCAAAATAACATTAGTACTATAAAAATCTAAACAAAAGGATGCTCAAAAGAATAGTTATAATCCCTAGAGAGCACAATTGACCTTGTGAACTTTTGCTGTTTGTGGCTGAGATGATGAAGGGAGATGTCGGACAGGGCAAGATGTGACAAAATACCCATTTATAAACTATCA